TTTTGATTGTCTTCCGGACCTTGTTATGATTGGCATTGGTTTCCGGCTCTTGGTTTCGGTATCCGTTGCCTCCTCCATGGTGTAAGCTGGCTTGAGGCGATCTACGGAGACGCGCACTGGTTTTCCTTTGATTCTTATTTTGTACGTTTTCTCGTCCCGTTGGAGGACTTCGTATGGCCCGTCGTAAAGTGCCTGCAGGGCTCTAGATGGTGCGTCGCGCTTTAGAAAGACCTTGGGTGTCTTCTCTAGGTCCTTGAAGACGAAGGTTGCTCCTTCTCCGTGCCTGCGCAGTCGGTTGTAACTGTCCCACTCGGTTGTAAATGTCCCATGGCCTTCTTTAGTGTGTTTAGGTAATCGTGTTCCTCTTGGCTCCGACGGGTTGTGCTTGTCTGGAACTGTCCTGGTAACCTGATGGTTTCCCCCAGGACTAGCTCCGCGGAGGTAGCCTGCAAGTCTTCCCTCGTTGCGGCTCGGATTCCCATTAGAATTACTGGGAGGACTTCTGTCCATCGCTCTGTGTCGTGAGTCTTGATGGCCGTCTTTATTTGTCGGTGGAGGCGCTCTACCATGTCGTTAGCCTGCGGATGGTAGGCTGTTGTTCTCCAGTGGGTGGCTCCGATTAGTTGTGTCAGCCTTTTGAATAGGTCGGCCTCGAATTGACGGCTTTGGTCCGTTGTTATTCTCAGTGGGCCGCCAAACCGCGCTATCCACGTGCTGAATAGTTGTTTTGCTATCGTCTCTGCCGTTATGTCGGTTACCGGTATTGCTTCGAGCCAACGTGTGAAACGGTCTATTACTGTCAGGCAGTAGCGGTATCCTTCTGAGCTTGGTAGCGGACCGACGAGGTCTACGTGGATGTGCTCGAAGCGCCGTGTTGGTCCTATCATGTTGTGTACCGGTGCCTTATTATGTCGTGTGATTTTCGTTTTTTGGCATTGGGTGCATGCATGTGCTCATAGTCTGCAATCTTTTTTGATGTTCGACCAGACAAATCGGCTTGCTACCAGCTTGTTGCCTTTATGCCTGGATGTGCCAAGTCGTGCAGCGATTCGTACGCTTGTCGGCGGAATTCCTGCGTGAGGTACGGTCGCGCTATTGCTGTGCTGGTGTCACAATATATGGCTGTTTTGGTGCCGGGCACGGGTATCCTCTCCAGCCGTAGTCCTTTCTTGGCTTCTAGCACTGCCTGTAGCTCGGTGTCGCTCTCCTGGGCCTTGGCTAAGTCCTCGAAGTTGATTCCTTGTCGTACCTCTTCGGTTCTGGACAAGGCGTCGGTTACTACATTGTCCCTGCCTGCTATATAACGGATGTCGGTTGTGAACTGGCTTATGTACTCTAGGTGGCGTGCCTGCCTTGGCGAGCTGCGTAGCAGATCCTGATTGAAGGCGTACGTCAGTGGTTTGTGGTCTGTTAGGATGGTGAATGGACGGCCTTCCAGCATGTGTTGGAAGTGTTTGACCGCTGAGTATACAGCCAGTAGTTCCCTGTCATAGGGGCTGCGTTTCGTTTGTGCGTTGTTCAATTTTTTGCTTAGAAAGGCCAGTGGTTGCCAAGTCTGTCCTTTCTCTTGCTGTAGTACTGCTCCTATTGCTACGTTTGACGCGTCTGTGATTAGTGATCGCCACCTTGCTGTTGCGTCTGGGTGTGCTAGCAGAGTTGCTTGAGCCAGGCTCTCTTTTGTTTTGTTGAACGCTGCTTCACGCTCGGGCGTCCACTCTACTGGTATGCTTCCCTTCTTATTGCTGCCTTTTAGTACCTCGTTTAGGGCTGCCTGTGTTTGGGCTGCTCCTGGTATGAACCTCCTGTAGAAGTTTGTCATCCCCAGGAATCGTCGCAACTGCTTGACTGTTGTCGGTTTCGGGAAGTCTCGTATAGCATGTATTTTGTGTTCCGGAGGTTTTGTCCCCTCGGCCGAAACTTCGTAGCCTAGGAACGCTACCTTGCTTTCTCCCAGGACGCACTTTGCTGAATTGATTTTGATTTCGTGCTTATCGAGCCTCTGGAATACTTCGTGCAGGTGCTGGTTGTGTTCGTCAAGTGTCTGCGACGCTATTAAGATGTCGTCGATGTATGCGTAACAGTACTCCAAGTCTTGGAGTATGCTGTTGATAAATCGTTAGAACGTCTGTGCTGCGTTCCGAAGTCCGAATGGCATGTACTTAAATTCGAACATGCTAAACGGCGTCGTGATCGCCGTTTTTGGCACGTCCGATGGATGTATCGGGATCTGGTAATAATAGGCCATGACCAGATCGAGCGTGGATAATACTGTCTTTCCTTCCAACGCGTGTGCGAAATCTTCTAGGTGCGGTATGGGGTACCTGTCTGGTACTGTCCTGGCGTTTACGGTAGTCTCCACATGGTCGCCATGTTTGGTTCTTCTTGGGTACCAGGTGTAGCGGTGCTGACCACGGGCTCTTCGAAGGTTGTATGATTCCTCTCTTAGCATCAGGTCGAACTCTGTTTTGGCTGCTCTTAGCTTGTCAGGGGCCAGTCTGCGTGGTCGGCATGCTTCGGGCGGGCCAGGCGTTGTCTTTATAAAGTGTTGTGTTTCGTGTTTCGCCTCGCGCTGTTGCCCTGAGATGTTCGTCAGATCCGGATATTTTGCTAACAGCTCGTGGTACTTGGTTTGCGTGTCGATTGTTTTGACGGAAGGCGTTGATGAGTTGCTCGCGATTCCTTTGGTTGTCAGGCCTGTCTTTCCGTCTGCCAATCTCTTCCTCTGCATGTCCGGCAAGAGACTGTAGTGCGCCAGGAAGTCGGCTCCCAGTATCGGCTGCGTGTATTGGCTACCACGAATCTCCACGGGAACGCCCTTCTAAGTCCAAAATCTGGTTGGAGTGCCACTGTGCCGTACATTGGTATCAACGTGCCATTGGCGGCGTACAGTTGGTACAGGGTTGGTTTCATGTTACCCCTCTTATGTGGGGGAGGTATTATGCTTATGTCGAATCCCGTGTCCACAAGGAATCTTCGACCTGTCACCCTGTCGGTGACGTGTAGGCGGCATAATTTTGGGCTGTCTTCAACGGCCGCCGTCATTGAGAGCCCTGTGTGTTTTCCGCGCTCTTCTCGTCTACTACGAATTGGCTGCTCACACTTGCGTGCTTTTGTTCCGAAACGTCGGTGGTAGTAGCAGACCTGGCGGTGCTTCCTACCTCCGGATCGGTTTCTTGTTCTGCTCCGCGACCTATTTCCTTCCCAGGCGTTGGTCATTCTCTCTACTTTTGTTGTGATGGCGGCTATTTGTTTTTGGAGTTCCTCTAGCGTGTTTTTCGTTGGATTTGTCGGCTGTGGTCCGCTTGTAACTAGGACTACGGTTTTACCGCCGATTTCGTGTATCCTGTCGGCCTGCTCCGCTACGCTGTTGAGGTTGTCCTCGCCCCGGGTTGCTAGTATGGCTTTTGTCTGGGCCGGCAGTCGTCCTAGCCACAGAGTGCGCAACAGATTTTCGGAAATTCTAGTCCCGGCGAGGGTTGCCAGATGCCGTAGAAACTGCCATGGTTTTCTGTCTCCCATTTCTTCAGCTTCTAGGAGTTGGCGTATTCTATACTGTTGTGAGTCTGTCAGCCTCTGTATTAATGCCTTTTTTAAGGCTTCATATTATCCGTTGCTCGGAGGGTTTATGATTATGTCCTTGACTTCCTTTGCTTGTTTCGGCTCTATCTTAGAGAGGGCGTGGATGTACCTCTCGTGGTCGCTCGTTATTCGGCACAGTTCGAATTGACCCTCTATCTGTGCGAACCATAGTTCTGGTTCCTCTGGCCAGAACGGCGGAATCCGCAAGGTTATTCTGCCCGTGTGTGGGCTCTCCTCGATTATTATCGACTTATCTGGTTTCATGTTGGATCACGTCGGGGTCACCAGTTTGTAGGCGAAGGTTGGACGTGCTTAATTTATTACGGTGCAGCGGCCGTCGCCCTCGGCCTCTCTGCCGTGTCGATGACTTAATCCTAGGAGG